GGAGGAAAGGGGATTTGTTAAAGGGTGAAATGGAGAAATGAGGTTGGAGGGAAACCAATGGAAACGGGTAAAAAGTACAGATGAGGTGATGAAGGGGGAAGTGTCCTGAGAAATGTGGTTTAAAGTGGAAGGAGATGAGGTTTGGGGAAATGTAGAAATTAGGCGAAGAAGGAGAAAGATAGGAATGGGGGGATTGAGCATTTGAAGAGGATGGAATAGAAGCAGAGAAAGGGTTGAGAAGGTTGAGAAAGAAAGGAAGAGGGGAGGAGGTGACCACTTAAAGGAAACTGACTGGAAACAGAGAAATGGATTTGGAAAGGTGGAAAGGGAAATGAAAAGGGAGGGGTGAGTACATGAAAAGAATGGACTGGAAACAGAGAAAGGGAAAGGGGAATGTGGAAAAGGAAACGAAGAGGGAGGGATGATTACTTGTAGAGAATAGACTGGAAACAAGGGAAGGGTAGGGTAGGTTTATAACAATATACATAGAATACTATAGATACATGATTTAGAATGAGGCTTCTAACAATAGTTTGAGGGAGAGGGTTCTAGGCAAATTCTATAATTTTGAAATAGGGTAGAATAGGGGAGTAAGATTTGTATAATTTAGAAAACTGAGCAGCTAGATATATAAGATATATATTCAAGCTGTATAATATTTATATAGTATATTCATGTTATTACATTGATATTACAGGATTTAACCGCAAAGGATAAGGATTAAGCGATAGGCTACAAGAGTTCTAGTTTATTAAAGTAACCTGAATTAAATTAACTAAGGAATAGTCTAACCCCTATATCTTTTCAGTCTGGTTGTGTAAACCTTTAATATTTCAAACTTAGATTATTTCATAACAACTTGTCCTTTATAAAAAAAAGATTTTCAGGTTGACGCATGGAGGAAAACAACAAAAACAACAAAATCATCCTCATTTTTTCTCAGATAAAGTTTGAAAGGGCGCTGTGAACGACTTTGTGATCTCGTCGCTCCTCCAGAGGCCGAATTTAAAGAATTTGAGCCGCGGCTTAAATTTAAACCGCGGCTCAGCTATGGTTGGTTCCACTTAAAATTGTATTCAATTTATCAAGATTTAAGCCGGCGCTCAATTAAAACCGGGGCTTGCAAAAGGACTGTAAACTCTTAATCTAGTATTTTTACGAGGGATTCTATAGCAAAAACATCCTGGGTTGCACTGATGACTCTTGTTTAGTAGATTACCTAAAGGAACAGAGTCTCTTGAGCGTCATCTTGGATGATTTCTAATTTTCATCGTTATGCAACTAAATAAAACTAACTCAAAAATCATTAAAAAAAAGCTTTCAATGTTAATATAACATTATTCTTTAATAAACCTAGTTACTAGTTTTTTTGGTATGTTTAATAAGAAGGTTACGTGTACACTTAGTAAATAAATCAGAATAAAATTTCTTTTTGTGATAAGAATTCGACAAAATTTAAAATTCTGATTTACATCATCCAAGAGGGAGAAACCATATAAAATAAATAGACTCTTTTATTAATTGTTTACAATGAAAATATTGATAAGGATTTTTATTGTTTGTAAATAAAGAATAGCTACGTAAAAGTAGGTAGGTAGGTAGGTAGGTAGATAGATAGATAGATAGATAGATAGATAGATAGATAGATAGATAGATAGATAGATAGATAGATAGATAGATAGATAGATAGATAGATAGATATTTTAGATAGGTAGATAGATAGATAGTAAGATATTTATGATAGTAAGATAGATAGATTTGAAAAATGTCTTGGCAATTAATTATATCTAATAGTTAGGTTTATTAATGCTGGGAAAACTAAGGAAACGAAACGGTTTCTCTCTTAAAGGATATTTGTTGGCAAAAGAAAAAAAGAGAAAAGGTTTAAAAGTAAGAAAGAGAAGAAAAAAAAATTGTGAAAGTGAGGAAGAGAAAAAGAAAAAAATTTCAAAGTGAGAAAGAGAATGATATAAAAAGAAAGAGTGTCGAAGAAGAGAAAAAGAGAGAAATAAAAAAATGTAGTGTGAAAAAGAGAGAAATAAAAAGATGAAGTGTGAAAAAGAGAGAAACAAAAAGATGAAGTGTGAAAAAGAGAGAAACAAAAAGATGAAGTGTGGAAAAGAGAGAAATAAAAAGATGAAGTGTGAAAGAGAAAAGTTTTGAATTATTCTGAGAAGAAAGCTAGAGAAGGATTTTAGCAATCAACAATATCCTCTCTACGCTGTACTTCCGTAAGCACTTTAGTCACAGCGAACTCCACAAAGGAATTGAGTCTTTGTCACAAACTCTGATTTTCTAACCCCTATATCTTTGCAACCCAATGCCGTAGGGCGTAGACCTTAGATATTTCAAACTATGAATTCTGTTAGATGAAAGAATCTAAGTTTAAAATATCAAAGGTTTACACCATCAGGTGGAACAAATATAGGTATTAGAAAACCAGAGTTTGTTACAAAGACTCGATTCCTTTATAAATAATCTATAAAATTTTGAGACCGGTCTTTTAATCGGAGCCAGGTCTTTGGTTCAAAGTTGTCTTTATCCCTAGATATAAAATTCTAAGCGCGAATACGTTTCTAGATTCCGTACGTTGAAAAAGGAGTATTTTATGATTTTAGAGTACATCATATTATAGGACGTGCATCATATGTAGTACAAAGATATGCGAACTACTTTTCAAAAACATTAACTGGGCGAATTTTTGTTTTGCTAAAAACCTACTTTTACTTTCCGAATATTAATTAATTAACTCTACTTTTTGGACTGATTATTTCTTGCTACAAACTTTGATTCTGTTAGATTTTATATTCTAAGTTAAAAGTTATCGACGGTTTACACCAACAGATTGCAAAGATATAGGGATTCGAAAATTTGATTTTGTGACAATAACTCAGTTCCCTCAGGATGCTTCTGGACAATTGTTTTTAAGAAAATTGTTTTTCACATTTGGATAAACCATTCTTAAACCATCTGGTCTTAAACCAACCTGTCAGAGCAATATCAGTCTTACTCAACCAGTCTTGTAAGATCAACATAAAACTATCCTTTCAGAATAAAAATATAAAACCAATAATAAAAAATAAGATAACAACAATGATCAACTTGAAAAAAAAATATCTATTTATTTAATAAAATCAAGTTAAGGTTAAAAAAGGCGCTATCAGGAAAGATAACAAAGCTGGGACAATAAATGTACAATTTATTAAAGAGCATATATACATTTTTATAGTTTATTTAATTTAATTTAGTTCAGTTCAGTTCAGTTTAGTATAGTTTGGGTTTTAAAAATTAAACTACAATCTTTTTATCTTAGTTTCGTTGAACATGAACAGCGGAAACTATTTAATTCAAATATATATTATTATATTATCATCATGTATAAAATATAAGTTTGGAGCTACGGATACCATCTCAAACCTATCCAACCGTTCTCATTCATCCTGTTTCTTATTTTACCATTTATTCCGTTAGGTTCTTGGTCGGATTCAAATTAAATTATTTTGTTAATTCATAATTGCTTACTTAACATTTAACGCATAGCTATTGAATAGNACTACCCTTCTCATCTCCCTTCTTTCTATTTTTACTAAGGCTTGAAGTCACAAAGCTCCTGAAATTTGATACTTTATTCGTCATTGTGAAGTAACAAGATGAAGACTCAATTAGCAGCAGTGTTCAGCCACCTAACTTTACAAGTATAATTATAAAATAATATTCGGAAAGTAATTACTAGCCCGGGCTTTTCTAAAAGTGGTCTGTCTTTTCATTTTCTTATAATTTCCAGGGATATTTAAAACTAGAGAAAAGGAAATGGAAAATATAATTTTTAGGAAAAAAAGATGGAAAAAATGTAAAAGAAGGATTAAGAAAGAGAATAATAACATAAGTAAGGAAAGAAGGATCTAAAGGCTATTGGATAAAAGAAAAGCAAATAGCAGGAGAAGAGAATAAGGAGGAAGGTTGATGTTTAAGCAAGAAGGAAGGTAGGTAGGTAGGAAGGGAGGATAGAAGGGAGCAAAATATTGAAAATATTGTTTCTTGAATATTTTAATCTTATTATTTATGTAAATGAACGTGTAAGGATTCTTAGACCAACAATAGTTTACCTCTCACGTTAATTTTATAGAAAATATAAGAAAATGTTAAATAAAAAACTTTTAAATTTTTTTTATATTTTAATGTAAAAAAAAAAAAACGAATATTTAAAAAAAAAATATCTCTGATAGAGAGTAGGTTCACCCCTTGCAGAAGACTCCGAATCTGGTAATTTTATGTTAAGATTTACTCTGTCAACGGGACTGGTCTTGTGATTAATCTGTTAACTGGACTCTAGAGTAAACTCTAGTTTGTGTTTACTTTGTTAACTGGACTCTAGAGTAATCTCTCTAGTATGTGTTTACTCTGTTAACTGGACTCCAGAGTAAACTCTAGTTTGTGTTTACTCTGTTAAATGGGCTCTAGAGTAATCTCTAGTTTCCGTTTACTCTGTTAACTGGACTCTAGAGTAATCTCTAGTTTTTATTTACTCTGTTAACTGGACTCTAGAGTAAACTCTAGTTTGTGTTCACTCTGTTAACTGGACTCCAGAGTACACTCTAGTTTCCGTTTACTCTGTTAACTGAACTCTAGAGTAATCTCTAGTTTTTATTTACTCTGTTAACTGGGATTTAGAGTAATCTCTCTAGTTGGTGTTTACTCTGCTACTGGACTCCAGAGTACTCTCTAGTTTGTGTTTACTCTGTTAACTGGACTCTAGAGTAATCTCTAGTTTTTATTTACTCTGTTAACTGGGATTTAGAGTAATCTCTTTAGTTGGTGTTTACTCTGCTACTGGACTTCAGAGTAAACTCTAGTTTGTTTTTACTCTGTTAAGTGGACTCTAGAGTAATCTCTAGTATGTGTTTACTCCCTAAATTATGCTGGACCTCCAGCACTAATTATTCTATTCTCTAGATTTTAATTTAAATTATACAATTTACACGTCATTAAAAACCTGTCAGTTCACAACAGGATTTCCGACGCAGTTGAACTCCAGTGGAAAATATATAAACTTAAAACGAATCTTAAAGAGACAGTTTTCGTCAAGGTGAGGATGCTATAGTTGATAAAAATTATTATAAAGACCGTCAACTATTGAACCTGTGCGTAGCATTAGATTACTTGCTGAACAGTTTGGCATCATCCCTGATCAAGAATACCTGAAAAGTGATGGATAATAAATAGTAATAGCTTATAAAATAGCAACTATTTCATTATTTTTTTACATTTACCCTTGGTGTTACATACACAAAATCTTACTGATCCCCATAATTCTGTAACACAAAATCAATTCACATCGGTTCCCTTTAACCCTTTAATGCTATAACCATTTAACCATTTAATCCTTTAACCCTTTAACCCTTTAACCCTTTAACCTTTAACCCTTTAACCCTTTAACCCTTAACTAACTTCCATCTGAAAATGTGCAAACTTTGCAATATCTGCAAGTGACTTGTTAATTTCTACAGTTTTAAAAACCCCGAAATGGTCAAATTCAATTCTTAGTCCCTTTAATTTATGTTTTTAGGAAAAAAAGCATCTACATTTGTCGCTGAGATAAAGAATGAAATGGTAGTGTTGTGAATCGTTTAGGGCACTCATTAAAATGTATGTTTTAACAGATCAGTAATCTGAGCTGCTTATAATACCGACCGCTTGATCTCGATATCCACTATGGAGACTTTAAATTTGAGAATCTAAAAAACTGTTTACCTTTCCATATCTTCATTTCAGTTCTTCCTCCCCTGATTAAAGCTTCCTTCAACCCCTGACTGGGTACGATTACCATGCGGGATAGCGAATAAAGATTAAATCAAAATCTGCAGATTAGCAAAAGATCAAGATCAAGCATTGATCTTGATACCCACAATACAAGAGTTTCCAGCTTAGATCGTATTCTGCATGGCGCACTTCAGTTTAAACTCCCTTTCTTAAAATCTTTTAAATTTTAAATGTCTTTGTAAACTGTACTCCGGAAATATTTACCTTCTAACAAATTTTTTTGTACTTTTTTTCGCCCGGTGCTCTAAAATATTCTAGTCGTTTGCCTGTATATTGATTCTGGTTCAAACCTATAAATTCCAGATTTTTATGACGAGGTAAAAACATAATTGAATCTAACTGCTTTCATCCTAATGCTGAAAAATCAGGTTAAACCCGATAATATCTTTTAATCTTTCTTGTTGAAAACCTGCATTTTATCTGTATTAATATTAATGACAATAAATTAAGTAGTTCTGCCTGCATTGATTCGTCTTTTAATAATCTATAATTGACATGCAATTGAAACAATTCTTCAAAAGCAAAATTTCACTAGCTCTAGAATTAACAATTAACATAATTTCAATCCAATGTACAAAATTTTTAAAAGAAGTTCTCTTTTAGGGTTTTAAAATTTATATTGGCTATAATTAATGAATTTACATTTTTTGGTATATTAATAAAACAAACATATCAACAATAACCTTGGCTTAAAAAGTAAAGAAAACAATGATAATTTTGCAATGATGTTTTTTTGCAACAGACAAATTTTTGTAAAGTTTTTTTTTCATGAATTGTCGTTTTTATACGATATACAAACTTACCTAAGCTTGTTTTTTTTTGAATGTAAAAAGAAAACTTTTAAAAAATTGTATCAATGAGACTGTCATCGTGATTTCAAGCGAGTCGAGCCTCTGTTTAAAGAAAGCAAAACAATAATATATTCTTTATTATTTAGATAAAGATATAAAGGGTACCGCTGTGAATGGGGTAAATGGGGGGGGGGGGGTATTTAAAATTATATTGAAGCTATCTTTAATTTTATCTTTTTGCTTTTGCAATAAAGTTCAATCGATGGGATAAAATTTGAAATCAAAGCTTTGTGTTTAAACTGTAAACCAAAGAATATGAAATATGATCTCTGGTCGGTTTATACAGGCTTCCTCATTCTAATAAACCAGATAGATAGATAGATAGATAGATAGATAGATAGATAGATAGATATATAGATAGATAGATAGATAGATATTAGGTTTTAATTCTAAAACTATAATTTGTTTCTACCTTGTCGCAGTATTGAATAGGATCCATTAGTACGTAATTTAAAGTTCAGGAAATTCCCCTAAATTCTGATTTACGGAGATATAGGAGCTGAATCTGAATAGTTTGGTTAACGGAGCTGACGAACCTGCATCCATTCAGGTTTAGAGCTTAGGAGATAAATCCATATAGTTAGGTTTAGGGAGATAAGAAAGGTGAACCTATGTAGTCAGGTTCAGGGAGCTAAGAAAGGTGAACCTATGTAGTCAGGTTCAGGGAGCTAAGAAAGGTGAACCTATGTAGTCAGGTTCAGGGAGCTAAGGTAGCTGAACCTAAGTAGTCAGGTTGAGTGAGGTAAGGGAGCTGAACCTATGTAGTCAGGTTCAGGGAGCTAAGAAAGGTGAACCTATGTAGTCAGGTTCAGGTAGCTAAGAAAGCTGAACCTAAGTAGTCAGGTTCAGGGAGATAAGAAAGGTGAACCTATGTAGTCAGGTTCAGGGAGCTAAGAAAGCTGAACCTAAGTAGTCAGGTTCAGGGGGCTAAGAAAGATGAACCTATGTAGTCAGGTTCAGGGAGCTAAGAAAGGTGAACCTATGTAGTCAGGTTCAGGGAGCTAAAGTAGCTGAACCTAAGTAGTCAGGTTGAGTGAGGTAAGGGAGCTGAACCTATGTAGTCAGGTTCAGGGAGCTAAGAAAGGTGAACCTATGTAGTCGGGTTCAGGAAGCTAAGGTAGCTGAACCTATGTAGTCAGGTTCAGAGAGCTAAGGAAGCTGAACCTATGTAGTCAGGTTTAGGGAGCTAAGAAAGGTGAACCTATGTAGTCAGGTTCAGGAAGCTAAGGTAGCTGAACCTATGTAGTCAGGTTCAGGGAGCTAAGAAAGCTGAACCTAAGTAGTCAGGTTCAGGGAGCTAAGAAAGGTGAACCTATGTAGTCAGGTTCAGGGAGCTAAGGAAGCTGGATCTATATATTCAGGTTGAGTGAGCTAAGAAAGGTGAATCTATATAGTCAGGTTGAGTGAGCTAAGGAAGCTGGATCTATATATTCAGGTTGAGTGAGCTAAGAAAGCTGGATCTATGTAGTCAGGTTGAGTGAGCTAAGGAAGCTGGATCTATATAGTCAGGTTGAGTGAGCTAAGGAAGCTGGATCTATATAGTCAGGTTGAGTGAGCTATGGGAGCTGGATCTATATAGTCAGGTTGAGTGAGCTATGGGAGCTGGATCTATATAGTCAGGTTGAGTGAGCTATGGGAGCTGAAACTATATAGTCAGGTTGAGTGAGCTAAGGAAGCTGGAACCATATATTCAGGTTTAAAGAACTAAGGGAGTAGGACCTTTGTAGTCAGGTTCAGGGAGCTAAGGAAGCTGTATCTAGGGAGCTACGGGAACTTAACCCATGTAATTAGTTTCAGAAGATTTAAATCTCGTATTTTTACTAAAGTATTCTATGAAGAAATTTATCAAAATCTTAAATTTTGACGTTTCTATGTTAATATGTTCTTCTCTTAAAATCAATTATACCCATTAAAATATAGTAAAAGTCAGTAATATCTAGTTGAACCCTAATGATTTATCAGACATATATATAAAAATTGCTACTAGCCAATCATATACAATATATGAGCTAGAGTTGGAAAACAATCAATTCTTCTCAAAGTTTAAAAAAGTGAAAGAGTCAATTAATATTGTAACAAAACCACAAACAATATTTATTTCACATTGTTCTCAATATTTCATAAAAACGTCAAGAGTTATCAAATACGGGTTCCTTGTATTTTTTTAATAAATGCTGGAAACACTATCGCTAGAAATAAAGAAATTGAGTCTCTGTCACAAACTCTAATTTCTTATCCCTTTATCTTTTCAGCCCATTGCTTTGTCGTAGACATAAAGAGGAAGCGAAGAGGTAAAGCTTACTTCAGATGTACACAATCGACCACCCTATCGATTAAATATATGGTGGTCGATTGTGCACATCACGATATGTTTACGGATCTAAAACTGTACACTGGTATATAGAGTGATCCTTATTTCTAAGGAGGATTATATGGAATTGATAAAATTTTAGATTTTCTTTCTTTATGTAAAGGTAATTCGAGAATATTTGAAAATTTTAAAATAAACGTTATGCTTAGAGCGTATTTTTTTCTGATTCACAATTACATTAAGAGGAAAAAGGCCTTGTNCTGGATAAGAAACCTGAACAAAAGGGGAAATGGCAACTAGTCAACCTCATGATGCAATATTTTGTCATTCTTGTCTTAACATATACAAACAACTGAACTGGAATGTACTGCAGTAAACAGTTCCTGCATGTTTACAATCCATATCTCCATATATGTCTATCTGATTAACTATCTATACAAATATTCAATTATATACTTTTAACCACCCCCAAGCAAATACGATCACGATATATGTTTACGTATCTAAAACGTATTTCCAATGGGGATTTTATGGAATTCACCAATTTTTATGTTTTCTCTTTATTTAAAGAGAATTCGATGATGTTGACTGCAAACATTTGGCAATTTTCAAATTTGTAGATTTTCAATGACATGACCACTTATTTTTCAGCAAAACTGTTTTTATTCATTTTTTATTATTTTAGGTTTAGGTTAGTTTAAGACAAACAACTGAACTTGAATGTTCAATCCTGTGTTTACAATCCATATTAAGTGTCTATCTATTTATCAATACTAATATTCAAACATCTACATAAAACCTCCCCTGAGAAATACGATCACTCTATATACAAGTGTACAGTGTTAGATACGTAAACATATCGTGATGTACACAATTGACCACCCAATTAATTAATAGGTTGTTCGGTTGTGTACATCTGGGGTAAGCTAATTACCTCTTCGTTTCCTTTCTCTATGGTCGTAGACCTTAAATGTTTTAAACTATAATTATATTAGATTAAGTAGTCTAAGCTTGAAGTATCAAATGAGGGGTATAATTATAAGTAACTACTTTTCTAACAATCATATTGCAGCAGCACAATATTTGGAGTGCAGTTTCTGTCCTGCTTTTTAATATTTGGATTGCAATTTCTGTCCTGCTTTTTAATATTTGGATTGCAGTTTCTGTCCTGCTTTTTAATATTTGGATTGCAATTTCTGTCCTGCTTTTTAATATTTGGAGTGCAGTTTCTGTCCTGCTTTTTAATATTTGGATTGCAATTTCTGTCTTGCTTTTTAATATTTGGATTGCAATTTCTGTCCTGCTTTTTATCCGAACTAAAAAAAACGTGAAGATTACATAAATGTGGATTTCTACCTAACGTAATAGATGATAAACATATGGGAGTTTATCTAATATTTAATAGACTGGGAAAATAGTGACGAGAAATCTTTTTAATTTATTGTTTTTACTCTCGACTTGTTTTGTATACTGACAAATATATGTTTACAATTAGATACGTTTATTATCATTATCAAGAGTAAAAACACAAACATAGTATTCAGTGTTACTTAAAAAGGGTGAGTCGTTCTAGACAGCTGTATATTGCATTGTATTCATTTTCAAATAAATTTTTAGCATTTGGATTAGTAGATATACTCGTGTTCAATGTTGTCATTTAAGGCAGTAAGGGACTGCAGTCATATAAATTTCTCTAGAAGCTAGGGGATCATTCATTTTCCGTACCGTCCAGTTTTGCCTCATATAGAATGTATTAATGTACTGTACTGCTTGCCCTTGCTAATTGAAATTCGGCCCGGTATATAGAATGAGCTAGAATGTACCGTACTGTTTCTCCATTTATCGAGTGGGGTGCACTGTGCATGTGCGATTCACAATGGTACCCTTAACAGCGTTGTTTGCCTAAAAATGCTTGAAAAATCCATCGTTTTCTATTTGAAAACTTGTTATTTTCAAATGTGGTTTCTTTATAATGTGACTTGTGCATTTCTACTTTAGAAACAATTAAGAGAACTCAAGGAGATATTGAATAGAAGGAGTTTCCGTACACTTTGCTGTGACGTTTTTGGACTGCTGAAGAACTATTTTTTGCGTAACAACAATAATAAAGATTGTAACCAATAACACAAATAATAAACAGACATCTAGGGGGGGGGGGCAGGATAACCTTGAATTTGATTGAAAACGTCTCTGTAATAAGATCCTCTTCGTATAAAACTAAAATCATTAACTTTTTTAATCTTTTTTAACAAGATTTAATACTACTTTTACAGTTTACTAACTTGTGTTTGTTTACATTAGATCGGCTGCCAGCTTCCTTTGTTATTGTTGTTACGCAAAAACTAGTTCTTCAGCAGTCCAAAAACGTCACAGCAAAGTGTACGGAAATCCTATCGCCCCCTCCTTCTATTCAATATCTCCTTGAGAGAACTAAACATTGTGCACTAATAAAATCGACGATATTCTTCCCGTTAATCGGCATATACCCCTCTTCAAATAGAAGGTCCTGAAATAACAATGAAAGTCCCTTTAAAGGTATTCTGTCAAGATAACCCTGTAAATGTAAATATTTGCAGGATATACAACAAGTTTTATATCCTTCAAGGTTTCGTATTTCTGAATAGAAAATATATTCTAGGAACCTTGATCATGGTTTAAACCACTCCCACTCATCAATTTACTAAAGGGGGTTGTGTGCAGATTACAAAGACTTTTATTCGTCTAACAGATTCAAAATTTAAAATATTAAAGGAACTGTGGAAGACGTCATTTCAAATTTATACATTGGCATGTCAAATTGACAATGGCACCGCTTAAACCTTTGACTGCTTTTAATGTGAAAGTCAATCTTTGAATAAAGAACCTTTAAAAAATCCGAGTTTAAAATAATACACTTTTTTAATTAATTCAAACGTGTTAAATAATCAACATAAATGTATATAAAGGAATTGAGTCTTTGCCACAAACTCCGATTTTCTTATCCTTTTATCTTTCCAACCGAATGTCCAAGTAGACCTTTGATATTTAAAACTATGAATTCTATTAGGTCAGATAATCTAAGTATGAAATATCAAAGGTTTGCACAACAAGGTTGCAAATATATAGAGATTACAAAAATTTGAGTTTGTGGCAAAGACTCAATTCCTTTGTTAATATGCAAATGTGAAAACATATTTGTATTTGAATACCAATTCATCTAAATTATTCTAATTATTATTAGTTTAATAAACTAATCGTGAAGGTTTTGAATATTAAGCTAACTGTTCTAAATATTAAGTACGTAATCTTGAAAAACTTTAAACATAATTATTATTTGGCAGATAAATTGATAGATAATAAGATATCTTGAAGCAAATGCATTACGTCTTATACAAGATAAAAATCGTAGTTTTGTTTACTGAATTTATTTACATTTAAGGGAATTGTATCAAAGTTTATGTACTCCTTTAAACATTTTTTTATTTTCTTAACTAATTTTATTTTTTTAACAAAAATCACATGTTTGATTTTCGTCATCTATCTTCAATGTTGTCATTTATTATCTTCGGTTATTATTCAAATAGTTTTCATCAGGGACTTTGAATAAATCAACCTTCATATGTTATTAATCATGATAAAAGAAAGGAGTTAAATCTTTGTCACAAACCCAATTTTTAACCCTATATCTTTGCAACCCAAACTATGAATTATGTTAGATCAAATAATCTAAGTTTAAAATACGCCATCAGGTTGCAAAAATATATAGATTAGAAAATTTGAGTTTTTGACAACGATTAAACTTCTTTATTGATAATATTTTAATAATCTTAGAATAATTGATTTAATCGTTTTCATGTCTGTTAAATTTCAGTATTTGATCTTTTATCGATAATAAATTTTATTCTATCTTTTATCCTTGAAGACTTTGACTGTTTTTATAAATTCTTTAACGTTTGCCTGCATGTTATTAGTCTTTACTGATTAGAATTATGAATTTTCTAAGATAAGAAATATTTCAGATAGTTTGAAGACTATGCTCCGGGTAGAACGATGACTGGAGTAAAGATCCCAGCTCCAGTTCCTGCTCCTAGGAGGAGTAGGAGTAGTGATCCAATGGATAACTCAACACCTTCCGCCCCAGAGCGGCGGAAGAAAAAGGCTGCTCCGCCCCCGCCGGTTTCAGGAGGCGGATCTAACCCTAGACAAAGGTAATATATTATTTTGTCCTTGGTTCATCCTGCAATATGTGAACGAGGTATAAGGACGAACAAATTCTTGCAAACCCGGGATACTTCGGTTTGGTTTTATTATCCTATTTCATTGTTCACCTAAGACGGTTAAATCTGGTATTTAAAAAGGCAATCTCAGGTTTGAGGGGATAAACTTGTGATTAGATTTAATTAGTTTGTTCTCAGGGTATACCATTATACTGATACATCTTATATAGGCTTATAATCTTCCATTCTTCACGCTCATTGTCGTCTTTTAGATGTAAATCCTCTCAATCCGTTCATCCTGCACTTTTTAATCCGTTCGTCCTACACTTTTTAATCGGTTCGTCATCGAAAAATTCATCTGTTTATTCTAAACATTTATATCTGTTTACCCATGACACATTTATCTGTTTATTCTAGACATATTTATCCTTTCATCCTAAACCTTTTAATCTGTTTATCCTAGACATGTATGTGTTTATCCTATGACATATTCACCTGTTAATTCTAGACATTTTTATATGTTTTCCCTTCACATATTTATTTGTCTGTTTCTCTTAGACGTATTCACCTGTTTATTGTAGAATTGTTCATCTATTTGTTCTAAACATATTTATCTTTTTATTCTAGATATTTTTAACTGTTTTAACTGTTTATCCTAGACATATCCATCTGTTTATTTTAGACATATTTATTTTTTAATTTTAGACATATTTATTTTTTATTCTAGACACACTTATCTCTTTTTATCCTAGTTATATTTATCTGTTTATTTGAGACATATTTATCTGTTTATTTTAGACATATTTATTTTTTAATTCTAGACATATTTATCTGTGTGTCCTAGATATATTTATCTGTTTATTTTTGACATATTCATCTGTTTACTCTAGACACATTTATCTATTTTAAAGATATATTAATCTATTTATTAAAGATGCACTTATCTATTTATTTTAGACATATTTATCTGTTTATACTAGACATATTTATATGTTTATACTAGACATATTTATCTGTTTAGTCTAGACGTATTTATCTGTTTACTTTTGACATATTTGTTTGTTTATTTTAGATACATTTGTCTGTTTATTTCAGATTCAGAGACACTTGTCTGTTTATTCACGACATACACCTGCTTTTTCATGACATTTTTACTAATTCTTTTAGACATGTTTCCCTGTTTATTTTGGATTATTTTATCTGCTCAAATTAAATATTTAAATCCGTTTACGCTAGACATTTTTAGCCATTCGTTCAAGACATTTTTATTTTTTATCATTGACAATTTAATCTGTTAATTCTGTTCATTAATCATTTAGGGATGATAAAAGACCCCAGAAGAACTCCACCATGATATCCTCTACAACCTCCTTGCTCAGGGTTGAGGATATATCCCCAGTGAGGCCGGCCTCTTCCCTCTCAAACCTCTCATTGTCCAGCACCTCGACCTCCAACCTCAATAGACCATCCTCATCGATGTCCAACCTCTCTTTCAGGTATTTTGATAATAATTCATAATGTTACCCTTTAATAATATATCATAATATTACCCTTTAATAATAATTCATAATATTACCCTTTAATAATAATTCATAATATTACCCTTTAATAATAATTAATGTTACCCTTTAATAATAATTCATAATGTTACCTTTGAAACCTGTGTATGATCAAGTATGAGTGAGACATCTTAGTTTTTTATGTAAACAATGGACTTTTTTATCGTGGTTTCTCTGCTAAAAGTGTACTGCGGATTTATATTAGCAGGGGAGATGGAAAAAATTTGTCAGAATTTAAAAAAAAGGTTTAAAGGTTACCGTTAAGAATCATATATAACACTCTGCTACAGTAAAACTTGAAATTACGGTTACAGTTTTACTCATTACACAGTACAGTGTATTCCAATCATAGAGTAATAAAACGAAGAGGTGGGGCTTAGCTCAGATGTACACAACCGACCTGTCTATTAATTAATTAATAGATTGGTCGGTTGTGTACATCACGATATGTTTATGTATCTAACGTTGTACACTTGTATATAGAGCGATCGTATTTCTAAGGAGTGGTTTAATGTAGATATTTGAATATTAGTATTGATAATTAGATAGACACTTTATATGGATTGTAAACACAGGATTGTATACTGCAGTATATTCAAGCTCAGTTGTTTGTTTATTTCAATACAAGCATGTCTAAATATTGCATCGTGAAAAAGTACCAAAAAAATTCTTCTTGTAAAAATGTGAGTTTTTTCAAAATACCAAAAAATTTTGCATGGCTAGACCTCGAATTCTCTTTAAATAAAGAAAGAAAATCTAAAAATTGGTCAATTCCATAAAATCCCCCTTTAGAAATACGATCGCTCCATATACAAGTGTACAGCGTTAGATACGTAAACATATCGTGATGTACACAACCGACCAATCTATTAATTAATTAATAGGGAGGTCGGTTGTGTACATCTGAGCTAAGCTTCACCTCTTCGTTTTATTACTCTATGATTCCAATACCACAATTAGACCATGAGTCAAAATAATCCTCGCGCAACCTCTCTAAAATTGAATACACATACAGGGTGTCCCACGAAACATGACAATAGCAAGACGACTTGAAAGTCGTCTTTGATATTTGAATTTATTTGTGACATTTAGTCTTCTATCTACTTTAACATGTATGATTCTTGAAACAATTATCACATAATTCTCCTAGCCCTGGCATTTCCAAAAAGTGGTCTGCGTTTTTAGTGCTTTCAATATTACCGGAGATATAAAGAGTTTGGTTCAGATTTCAATTTTGTTAAATAAAAGCAAAATTGTCGAAATCTAAACGAAATTGTTCATATCTCGGGCAATATTGAAAGCACAAAAAATGCAGACCACATTTTGGAAATGGCAGGACTAGGGGAATTTTGTGATTATTATCTCTAGAAATTTACTTCTAAAATTAGGTTGACAAATAAACGCAGCAAATTATATCAAAAATCAAGACGACATTCAAGGCCTCTTGCATACTGTCATGTTTCGTGGGACACCCTGTATATGTAGCTTTAAAAGATTCAAGTCTTTATTGTTACCTTACTTGTACATTTGTTGAATATCTTGATATGATTGTGGCCATTATTTCTATTTTGCAATATGCTTTTTTTTACAGAATTATCTCAGTTTTTTCGGAAAACGACCACAGTTCTTATAAATTTGTGTTCTTAAATAATGATACTTTCTTTCTGTGTAATAAATAATCTAAATATTGCCAAAAAGATTTTTAATCCCTATATCTTTGCAACTCATGATGTTGTAGACCTTAGATATTTCAAACTACGAATTCTGGTAGATCAAATATTCTAAGTTTGAAATATCAAAGGTTTACAACATCATGTGGCAAGGATACAGGGATTAGAAAATTTGAGTTTGTGTTAAAACTCCAATCCCTAACTACAACATGCATTTTTTAATCTTTAATTCTGGAATCTATAAGTGAAAGATTTGTTTAACATTAAATAAAAAATAAGACCAAAAAATCAAACAGAAAATGTGATTCTAGTTTTCAATATTGATATTTAAATTCATTTTTTGCAGGAGCAACAAGAAACGTAAAGCACCCCCACCACCCCTTGCCATTATCTCCCCTATCAAGGAGGAGAAAACTCCCATCCACGCCCCTCAATCTCCCAACCAAGACCAACCCCCTCCTTCTCCGGACCCAGCAATCTTAAACCCCCCAAGATATTCAGAAATATATAACGATGAAAAAGAAGAAGAAGAGAAGGAGGAAAGAAAGAAGAAGAAAAAGGAAAAAAGGGAAGAAAAGGAGAAGAATAAGGAAAAGGAGAAAGATGAGGAGAAGAATAAGGAAAAGGAGAAAGATGAGGAGAAGAATAAGGAAAAGGAGAAAGATGAGGAGAAGAATAAGGAAAAGGAGAAAAATGAGGAGAAGAATAAGGAAAAGGTTTCGGATAGGATTGATAGTAAAGAGGACCGTGAATATACGCGGGAGGTGGAGGATGATGAAATTATAGAAATAATTATTGAAAATGAATCAAGTAAAATATTTGTGAAGAACGAGGATATTTATTCAACAGTAAACAAAAGAAGGAAAGATAAGAACGAGACGGGAGTCGATAAAAGTGAAGTTAATCCCGCGGGTTTAACAAATAATACAATAATTCAACATTCCGGCAAGATGATCGTTGAATCCTCAATTGAGATTTCTAATATTACTAAAACATCGGAATCTTTGGAACGAAAGAAAAAGAAAAAGAAGGACAAAGAAAAGAAGGAAGACGATGACTCCAAACCTAAAAAGAAGAAGATAAGTATGAGTAAGGAGCGTAGAGAGGATGAAGAGGACGGAGCAAAGCTGAACCTGGAGGAAATACCAAACTTCAGAATGATCCGAGCTGCAGATGTTCATCAGGTTGGGAGTTCAGGAGTAAAGACGGAGAGTAGAGATGAGATGGAAAAGGATTCTGAACCCGAGGAACTAGTTGAAGATTATGAACTGTTTGATATGGAAGCAGATCCTGGTAAATTCAGGGAACGAGAAACTAGTCAGGACAACCTGGAGCAAAAGAAGAAGAAAAAGGAAAAGAAAGAGAAGAAAGAAAAGAAAGCTAAAAAGGATAGGAAACAAAAGACTGACCGTGATACGAAGGAAATCGAAAGTAAAGAGTTGAAAGAAAATGAACCAATGTCAGAGGAAAATGAGAAGTCAAAATCTGAAAACGAGATTACCACAAAAACCCATGGGAACAAACCAGACGACAAGAACGAAAGTTCTGACAAAGATGACAAATCCACGGAGTTTAAAATTTCAGATCTAGTTCCAACTATTCAGGAAGGTTCGGAGAATATCAGTGAGAGTTTGTATCTCACTGCAGAGGACGAGTCCGGAGATGAAAAGGGAAACCAGGACGCAGAGAACAAGGATTCAATAGAGGAGGACGCAGAGGACAAGATTGGTCCGATGAGAAGGATGACCGGAAAGGAGAGGGAGGATGAGGTTAGACAAAAAATATCTATGGATATGAGAGCAAGGTCGAATAGAAGAGCTTCTCAGGGTGGAGACATTCTCGCAGCTCAGCTTCAAACAGAAACCATTAGGAATCAAACTATAAAAATCTCAACTTCTAAATTTCAAATTCAGCCCCGTCTTAAAATAGAGGAAACGGGATTAGGCTTCAGTTTATAAATATTTGTTTCTAGATTGTTTATCCCTGTATAGCACATGCTACATGTAGTAATCTATATTATCTCAAGGTAAACTCAAACAATACCAGGTTCGATTCAACCCCCTTAATTCTCAAGGTCCAATAAGAACTATATGGGACTGGGAAAATANCCCCCACTCAGACATACAAAAGAAAATGGTTTGGCTAAAGGATCATTGAAAATAATCATGTCTAATTTGGAAATATCAAATGAGGCATCTGAAGTACTGAAATTAAAGATATTTGATGAGATTTCTCAATACAAAACCGTGTTTAAAATCTCTTTAACACTCTACAAGATCGACTCCCAAGTTTAGACATGAATCTTTATGTACTTGTCTTGTCAAATGTACTGCAGTTTGGGAGAAATTTTAAAAAATCTCTGAGCCCCAATCTTAAATACGCCCGATAAATTGGGTAGATTCTGGCTCTGTACTGCATTTTTATGCAGGGTTACCCACAAAGGATGAGACTGTTAAGGCTAAAGACGACCTAAAACCCTAAAATCATGAGGATTTTAAGGTAGATTTAAGAATTCTGCCTTGAAAAAAGTCTTCAGATATGACTTTTAACACGATTGGGAAAATAGAGCAACAAGTTTCCAGCTGCAAGGAATCATCAATATAAGGAAACAGACAGTAAGTCTCATCCTGTGTGGGGTAAACCTGTATCTTGTAACGTGTAATAGGACCGTGAATATGTCCATACAGGTTCCCGGTGTTAATATATGCTTATTAAGAAGATTAAAAAATGTTGATTCAGTTGATTTTAATGTTAGCAATGTGTAAAGCGTGGAAACAGTGTTGAGGCCTCGTGTGTTTTATTCATAATCGTGGGAAGGAAAGATAAGAACTGGGAGGGGGGGGCAATGTATAGAAGGGGGGGGGGGGGATGTAATTGAAATACAATATATATACATCTAGTGATTTACATTAGACGGATTGGATTATGATTAACTTGAATCTTAAAGATCGTGGAAATTTGGGAATTTAATTTTATTTTATGAACATAGTTCACAACCTTTAGTTCCAGATTATTCCGTATCTATTAGTTTTGTTTGCAAAGACTAAAGAGAAAACTTCATTACATCGGGAGCATTAAAACTGTGGAATTGGAAAAATCCATTGGAGGCAATAAGCTACTGGTAAAACGACATCAAATACACCTGAGATTGTTTAAATGTCGTCTTGTATTCCTTAGTTTTATGGGTCCCGTCGTATTCTCTCATTTTCTGCGAATATATTTAAACACATTTATGGAGTCAATGTTCACTCTATCCAGGGTAGAGTTACATGCTAAGCAGTTAGTCGGTTTGACTCACGCAACTTATAACAATTAAAGTTTGGACCCGGAGTAAGCGTTTCAGTAGTTCAGTTCTTTCCAGTCTAGCCTTTGCATTCGTCTAGTCTCCTAGTTTTGAATTGTTTCATTTTAATTTAGATTTGGAAACCTCTGAGCATAAATTGAACAGTACAAATGAACTGATTACTCACCTCACACTTTATTTTGTAATCCTTTTATCTTTGCAACCTGGTGATGTAAAAATTTTAATCGCTGTTCTCTTTATCATTTGTATCCTATCCGCCCTTACTTTACCATTCTCTTTATCATTTGTATCCCATTCGTCCTTACATCGGTATCCTCTTTATCATTTGTATTCTACCCGTCCTTACATCTCTATCTTCTTTATCATTTATATCCTACCCGTCCTTACATCTCTATTTTCTTTATCATTTGTATCCTACCAGTCCGTACACCGGTATCCTCTTTATTATTTGTATCCTATCCGTCCTTACATCTCTATCTTCTTTATCATTTGTATCCTACCCGTCCTTACACCGGTATCCTCTTTATTATTTGTATCCTACCCGTCCTTACATCTCTATTTTCTTTATCATTTGTATCCTACCAGTCCGTACACCGGTATCCTCTTTATTATTTGTATCCTATCCGTCCTTACATCTCTATCTTCTTTATCATTTATATCCTACCCGTCCTTACACCGGTATCCTCTTTATTATTTGTATCCTACCCGTCCTTACATCTCTATTATCCTCATCATGTTTGTTTATCCTTTCCGTCCTCAATAATTCAAGTTACTTTATAATTTTATCGAATCTGTCCTTAGATCTGTCTCAACTTGATAACATCTCCGATCCTATACCTTCAGAATTTATTACTCTTAATGTGCTTACAGTCACTGATTGATTCCTCAAATAAAGTAAAAATCCCTAAAATTAATTAAGTTTAAGGAAACAATTCCAAGGTTTAAGTTTGATTGTTCTCCAGACAACAGTTGAGAATAATCTCCGAGGATTCTCCTCTGGAGAGAAATGAAACCGTGTGGAGAAGAGAACCTGGAGTTGTTCATCTTGAAATAGATTCAGAAGATGATCTTCTTCCAACCATCAATAGCTCCAGGTTTTATTTGAGTTTTCTATATAGCTTAAAGTGGAAAAGGAATTTAGTCTTTGCCACAAATTTTGATTTTCTAATCCCTATATCTTTGCAACCAATGTTGTAGATCTTTGATATTTTAAACTGAGAATTATGTCAGATCGAATAAAATAATTTTGAAATATCAAAGGTGTAAACCCCCAGCTGTTGCAAAAATTCAGGGGATTAGAAAACATTTGCCCCAAACTCTTTTCAAATCCATAAATATGTGCAACTTGACGTGGAAGATTTTTGACATTTCAAACTATGAATTGATCTACTAAATGAAAAAGTCACAGTTTGAAACATCAATGGTTATCAGTTTGCAAAGATATAGGAATTAGGAAATGAGATTTTTTGTAAATTTTTTTTGAAAAATCTACGAATACTTTTAAATTTTATACCAAACTGTAAAATTTAAGGGAGAGAATGAATCCTTTGTCAAATAAATCCTTTGTAAACATTTATTTCATTAATCAGGAAATTTCGTTTCATTCCTTCCCCCTGTATGCTTCTGAGATCCATTGATTAAACATCAATCTGATTTGAATATTGTTTAGATCTAACAGTGTAGTAGAGATCTCGGATACAGACGAGTTTATTACAATCTCGAACAGACAGGAGCTGGAGAGAATGGAGCTGGAGCTAAGGACAGAAAGAGGACGGAGAAATGAGATATCACAGGCTCTGGATGAATCCTACAACAAGATTTCATTAGAGCATTTATCTGTTACAGGAACTGATGAGAGTTCAGATCATTCAGAACATTTTTCTCTGAAGAATGAGAATATTCTCAGTAATGCATATCCTAGTCCTGATAATGAATTGTATCATGAAAAGAATAAAAAATCTCCTCCATCTCCTCCTCCTCCTACTCTAGCCTTCACCTATCCTCTACCAAACCATAGATCAGTTTCTGAAACCATTAAATCTCCGTCTCCGGATTCTGGTATTCATGATTTTGCTGAAACCTGTTCTCCTCCGTTAAGCCTGCAGACCAATGAAGATTCTAATACGGATATTGAAGAGGAGAAAGAACCTAAACCCCATATCTCAGTTCTTCAAACCCGGGACTGGGCGGAGAATGGGAAAGAATTAGCTCGTTTGAGGGTTGCGTCACAAGGAAATGACTCTTTTGCACCGGGTTTCAAAGGTTCTCTCAAGACAAATGACTCGGAGAGACCTCAGGAGGAAATCCAAGACGAGGATAAAGTTGAGAAGGTTGAACTCCCTCGCCAACACGCCTTGGGGAAGGTTCTTTTCTCCATGTCTAGTTACAGAGAAAGGGATGATCCTAAAATAAATCACGATAAACGTCAGAGCTTAAACCTTGATCTGTTTTCACAGAAACTTAACTCCAGTCTTGCTTCTAAGCAGGAAAGAAACAAAACTAGCGGATCGATGGTTGACATTCGTTTGCACAACTCGCACGCCCAAACCTCTCACAGGGCTTCCAGTGGTTCGCTGTCGGAGCAAAAACAAACTGACCTTAAGGTTAAAGCAAACCACAGTTTCAATGGTTCCACCAGTACCCTGAGTCACCAATCTTTCTCTGCACCGAAACAACAGGTTCCCGAGGAGAAGCCAATTATCTCCGAGGTGGGAGACGGAGAGGAAGGACGAGGAGTAATTAAACAATCTGTACAAGTGCAATCTAACCCTAGATATTTAGCTCCGGACCTAGGTTTAGATTCAAAGGATAAGTTCAAGTCACGAATAATTGAGGAATTTGAGGCGCGGATCCGAGGTTTGCAGCTGGAGAAGGGGGAGGGGAACTACGGACCGGGGGAAATTACGCGCTCTCAGTACGCGCGTCAGTCCATTCAGTCAGATTCAACCCATCAGAATGCGTACAGTGCAGTTAATAGTGGAGCCAGTTATAGTTTAGACAGAAAGGGCATAATGGGTGGAGTAAAGGATAGATCCAGGGAGGGGATGGGATACTCCTTGGATAGAGTTCACAGAAAGCAGGACAGAAATTCATTTAGTGTTTTTGTATCCGACCGTAGAGCCTTGGAGGAGAACCATTATGACAGCCCTAGAAGTTTATTGAGCAAATCTAGTTACACGGAGGCCATCAGATCTAGTCAAACCCTGCAAGATGTAAAATCTTATTCCAGTCCTGATGAGGATAGGACGGGTTCTGGGATTAAATCTCCTGTTCGAAAGCAGTATAGTGGTCCTCCCAGTATATCAATGGGAGTTTGGGGAGAACATTCTAGAGGTTCGGTCATTAAGATTAAGGACGATAGAGATATTAAACAAACCCAACCTATAGAGATCAAATTAAATTCTGGAGGAGCGGAAACTGATCCTAAGCAAGCTCAGCAAAGTAAACCAATTCTTAGCTCCAAGATACAAATAAATCCTTCAGTCATCCAGAACAAGATTCCTGGGAATTCTTGGCAAAACCATAGTACGGATCAAACCTTGCCCCGGTTCCGACAAAAACCAGAATTGGCCGCAAAACCTATTGAAATAAGATATAAGGACAGAACTGGAGTGAGTAAGGAGATAATTCAGGATCCCAAGATTTCAGTCATATCCGCTAGTCGGAGAAAATCCGGAGCAATCGTAGAATCCGTCCAGCCCCAAACTTCAGATCGGAGATGGAGGGATGAACTCGTCCGAGATATTGACTCCATGGAGAAGAAAAACCTGGAAAGAAAGATTTCCGACTCCAAGATGTCGGAGAAGGTTGATTGGGATGATGTAGTTCTGCGGAGGAGTAAGGACTCCTCCTCTAGTGGGGATGAAAAGGGATTTATCTCTCATAACAACTTAGTGCAGAAGAGACGCTCTCAGATAGAAGGAGACAGGGTTAAACATGAACCTGCTCCCTGGGAGAGAAAACTTTCACACAACTCAAACAAGATAAAAGACCAAGTTCAGGTTAGTTAATATTCCTACCATCAAGGAATTGAGTCTTTGTCACAACCTCTTATTTTGTAATCCTTAATTTCTTTGCAACCCAATGTAGTATACTGAGTTTTTAAGCCATAAATTCTTCTAGATCAAACAAGCTAATTTTAGCTTGTTGTAAAGACTTAATTCCTTTGAAGAAATGTAATTAAGTATTTCAAACGATTATTTCTTTTGTGACTTCAAAAGCAAATTTAAGAATTGTCCTTTTTTATTACAAATTTACAATTACTGCGCAAAATTAAAACACAAGTGTGGTTTTGGACATCTATTTTCTTATAAAAGTTTTAAGCTTATGTCGAATTAGAAAAGTTAACAAATCAACTCAAAATTAACAAATAAAAATTGTAAATATGCGTATACAAATATCGCCTTTATGTGATAATATAAACAAACATATAATTAATGTTTGCAATGGCTAAATTGTAGAGCAAAAATATTTTTTACTAAAACAGTTCTTTTAAATAAACTAAAATTAAAATGTCTAAAGAATTTTGGTAGATAAATCATGATATTTTCCGTTTGATAAAATAGAATACGTAACTTGCTAAATATTTCAGAAGTCGTGAAATTGTTCTGAAAATTATGTATTCGCACGTGTTAACACTTGGAACAATTAACAATGGATTCGCACCCTGGATTATTCAATAATCTTACATAGTCAGGGTGTGGGGTAAGGGCAAAACAAGGGAGTAATTAGGGCATCATCAAATGATGATAGATAAGCTCTCCATTTTAATTTTGATAATTAACAAAAAGTTTTTTTTTGTAATAACTTTTTCTGCTGAGGGATTCCTGATAGAATTTCTGATTGTATAGAAACCAAATGTAAAGTACCATTCTAACTTCAATATTTACATCCTTTACACACCAAGGTTGTCATACAAACTTGATATATCACGAACCTATTCTTCATGCGTTGTATGCACATGTTGTATTGGATATAATGGAACACCTGTATTTATAAGTATAATGGAACACCTGTATTTTTAAGTATAATGGAACACGCTGTATTTAAGTATAATGGAACATGTTGTATTTAAGTCTAATGAAAAACCTGTATTTAAGAAAAATGGAACACGTTTTATTTAAATATCATGGAACATGTTGTATTTAAGTATTTTGAAACACGTTGCATTTAATTATAATGGAACACATTGTATTTAACTATAATGGAACACGTTGTATTTAAGTATACCCCCTTTCGTTTTTCGTGAACACTCCCTTTAATTATAATATAAGATGTTGTAATGAAGAATGTGCTTGTTAGATGACCAAGGTAAGCCCGGCACATGTTTGCGTATGCATCAAGGCCATTCTAAATGCTGCCTTTTAAACCATACATTGAAAAAGCCGGGGGCAAATTCCCTTTCGTTCAATTCCTATTTTCAATGTAAGTATATTGTAGAACACATGGATGAAATTTATTATGTAATATCTAAGTATTCAAATTATGTTGGAATAATAATAATTATGAATATTCAATGGCTTTGATAATTGCGTTTTTTTACATAATTATCTTAAGAACAACTTTGCAGTTATTGCATATGTGTATAGTCAGAGGCGTATTCAGGGGGGGCTATTGGGGCTAAGCCCCCCCCTGGACCAGTGAAATCTATTCTGATTTGAGGGTCAACAGTAGGCCTGTGATTGAACTATGGTTGAGGGAAGTAGAAACAATTTAAGATTAATCAATTTATTCTAAATTTACAATACATATATATCTACATTCTACGTAATTAAAATATCATGATTTATCGTCTTCTGAGATTATCAAACCTTCGATATCCAAATATCTTACACAAATCATAACGTGTTCGTTATTCTTGCTTCTATTTAGATATCCTCCTCCTCCAGTGGTAAGGAGATACTGGAGATAAACCGTGAACCTGCTCCTGCTCCTCCTCCTCTGCCAACTAACAGATTCTACTTCGGGATGAACGGAGCCAGAGAAACTGATACTTATCCTTCCCTTCCCACTGCAGTAGGAAAAGTCAAGGAAAATCAAACCCTTGCTCAACCTTTCAGAAAACCAAGGTAATATTTAACTTTCATTTTCTATTCTTCCTTTCACTGGTATCCGGTGTCCATCCTTTAAAGCTCTCTTTAGCATACCATTCCCTTCCTAGATTTTTCCTGGTATCCATCGTTCTTAATTAATTTCATCTTACCCTTTCCTGGTATTCACCTTTCCTAGTTCCATTCATCTTACCGTTCCCTGGTATCAATACTTTCTAGTTCCTTTCATCCTACTCTTCTCTGGTATCCATCTTTCCTAGTTACTTTCATCCTACCCTTCCCTGGTATCCATACTTCCTAGTCCCTTTCATCCTACTCTTCTCTGGTATCCATATTTCCTAGTTACTTTCATCCTACTATTCCCTGGTATCCATCCTTCGAAGGTCCTCTCATCCTACTCTTCCCTGGTATCCATCATTCCTATAATTCCTTTCATCCTACTATTTCTGGTAATCATCCTTCCTAGTACCTTACATTCTTATGTTCTCTGGTTTCCATCCTTCCTAGTTCCTTTCATCCTACCCTTCCCTGGTATCTAATATCCTTCCTTCCTTATCCTCTGTTGGATGTTTTAAGACTGATGTTTGTTGATTATTTACTTAAAAAGCACATTTTTATTTGTAATTTCATGATCATTAGCTTGCTCGAGTTTTTAGCAAAAGACAGATAATTTCAGTTTTTATCTTGAAAACCATTTCCTTTATCCTCAATTTATCTTATTAATGATTTTACTGATAAAAGGATGAGTAAAGTTCATAATGTTGCTGTGAGGTTAAATATTACAAAATTTTCAAATCTTAGACATTTTTCCAATATTAAAGTTTATATTATTTTGAAAATAAATGAAATAATTTCAGAGAGTTGATCGTTAAAGATGAGAAGTTTTCTCGTCCTCGTCTCTCCACTGCAACGTTCACCCCTCCAGAGAACAACAACAATCCCAGTCTACTGAATGGGAACCTGGAGAGGAAACCTTCCTCGGTCGTCCCACCTAAAGAACTCCCCCAAGAGGAAATAAACAGGGCATTTACCGCTGAACTGATGAAAGCAAAACAAAAACTAAAATCCTCCGGCCGAGGATATATCCAGGACGAGGTTCAGGTTGATGGAGTTCTCCCTCCTCCTCCTCCTCCTCCACCAATCCTTCCTGGAATAAATAGGAAATTTTCTTCCTCTCCTTCTCCTCCCCCTCCTCCTCCACCTGCTCTGTTCCAGTTGAAGAAATCAAGCCGTGTTCTTCCTCCTCCAAACCTGGATCCACGAGATGACCTGCTCGCTGCTATACGCAGAGCAGGAGGAGTTGCAGGACTCAAGAAAACAAGAACATAAATTTTTATCATAACAAATTATGGACATCAACACAGGAGAACATATACCAAACCTTGACTTGAACTTAAATCTTCCAAACTATAAAGTCCTGAATCTACACAAAGCCCAAACTCAACTTAAAAAGTGAAAGTTTTGGATCAATAAAAAACTAATGAATACAGTAATAGCACCTCGCTCGCAAAATTTAACAAAGAAAGACATTAGAAACATTTTATCATCATTTGTAAATACTCATAAATATCCCCCCCCCACCTCTCCTGATGATATCATAGCAATAGTTTTTAAAATAAGTTTCAAACAAATACTCGTATATCTATCTATCAAAATATGTTCATATTTTAAATACTGTTCTAAACCTCATCCGCTAAAATTTAACATATAAACACAGCTTTTAAACTTAGATTTATGGCTTTCAAAATCTTCCAATTTGATAAATTTGGTCACTATTATATATTATATCATATTGTTAAAATAAACTAAGAGTTCTTAGTTGCCATTTTACAGTCTTTTTTGTACTGTGTTAAAACATTTCTAAGTCAGAATTGTGATTTTATAATGTATTTAGATTAGTTTATAGGTTTCATATTGTTATCTTTAGAATTTGATTATGATTAAATAAATTCAATTTACAGTCTTAATGCTTTTTCAAGATTTAAGAATACATAATCACTGAACTTAAAATACAAGACATAAGTTTTTACAGGTATTTTTTTTTATATCATAAAATGAAAACTACGGTAAAAATATTCATGGCTTTTCTAATTCATATATCTTTGCAACCTAATATTGTACACCTTTTATATTTCAAACTTCAAAGTTTTGATGTAATTTTCTCGCTGGGGTGTCAAGTCATGCAGTACATTAGAGATTGGACCCTGGACTTACAATTTGTCTTTGAGTTTTGTAAAGTTAATAGTTGTTAAAGGAGTATAAAAAAATACATTGAAAGTCTTTAAACCTTGGTTAATTTTATAGCCTCCTTCTTTGTATCAAAAAACTGTCGGAGATACTAAATATTTAAACAACCTCGATTGTATTTAAAATATTTTAAAATTCAGATAAGTTTTTCAATATCTCAGTCAATTCTTAAGGTTCAGGGTGTCCCACCAAACATAACAGTTGGTGAACAGTTTTTAATGTCTTTTTCTATATGTTATATTAGATGTTAAATACTTTTTTTTTAGTTTCTTACATTAAACAAATCTCTTACTTAAATATATTATCTTACTTTAAAATAAATTTTATTTTAATATGACTGCCATACAATATTTGTTATTATTCTCTTTGGTATCAAACAACTTAACAAATTATGGAAGAAGACATTTTAAACTATTCACCGACTGTTATGTTTCGTGGGACACCCTGTATAAAAACGGCAGACCACAATTCGGAGATCTCAAAACAAGGAGCATTTGATGCTTCTCGTCTTAGAAGGCGATGTCAAGTTTACAAGATATTAAACACAGTATCTCATTTCTTCTTACAATATGTATCCTATGTATTTAGTATCAGATGAGCTTCAAAATATATTTCACATTTAAAAACTGACAAAAAAAACATTTTTTTTCATTTGTTTGGGAGATAATTGATAGTACAAAAATCCATCGAATTAGCTCTATAATCAAAATCCATCAAATTAACTCTTTATACATAAGCAAATAATCAAAATCCGTCAAATTAACTCTTTACATAACCAAATATTCAATACCATCAAATTAACTCTTTACATAACCAAATAATCAAAATCCGTCAAATTAACTCTTTACATAACCAAATAATCAAAATCCATCAAATTAACGCGCTATCTCTAAAATCAAAATTCATAAAATCAACTTTCTAACTTTACAATCAATATCCATAAAATTATAACTATTAATTACTACTTAACCGGGAGATTAAGGGAGGATAATTAAATTGAGGGGAAAACCACTTACCCGAGGGCCTCCAAAACCTTTTTGGGGTTCTAAACCTCACGAGAATAGCGAGGGAGGTAAGAACCCCAAAAAGGTCGAGGAGGCCCAAGGCTAAGTGGTTTTCCCCTCAATTTATTTATCCTCATGAAAACTCCCGGTTAAGCAGTAATTTATCGTTTAATCTCCTGTTCAACGAAATAACCAACCGTGGGGGATAAAATAATAATTAAATCAATAAAACTATCAATTATGATTTTAATTCTCTTATTTCTTACTAATGCATATGGAAGAATATTTGATTTCTTGATCTAAATCTTGAATTAAATCTGTATGGATCACAGAGGGAGGATAAGTAATTATCCTCCCTGTAAATAGGGAGGATAAGTAATTATCCTCCCTGTAAAGAGGGAGGATAAGTAATTATCCTCCCTGTAAATAGGGAGGATAAGTAATTATCCTCCCTGTGATGAGGGAGGATAAGTAATTACCCTCCCTGTAAAGAGGGAGGATAAGTAATTATCCTCCCTGGAATTAAAAAAGGAGGGAATTTAAGGTTGGTTATTTCGTTGAACAGGAGATTAACTATTGAACTATATAATCAAATCCAACATATTAACTTAACTCTACAATCAAAATCCATAAACTCAACCATCTCACCTTATGATCTATATTCATAAAATCGATTCTCTAATTCATAATCAAAATCCATAAAATCAACTCCATAATTTTATAAAAAATATCCATAAAATAAACTCTCAAACACTAAATCAATATACATATAATCAACTCTCTAACCCTTTAATTAAAATCCATAAAATCAACTCNCAATAATGAATATCCATAAAATCAACTCTCTAACACAATAATGAATATCCATAAAATCAACTCTCTAACACAATAATGAATATCCATAAAATCAACTCTCTAACACAATAATGAATATCCATAAAATCAACTCTCTAACACAATAATGAATATCCATAAAATCAACTCTCTAACACAATAATGAATATCCATAAAATCAACTCTCTAACACAATAATGAATATCCATAAAATCAACTCTCTAACACAATAATGAATATCCATAAAATCAACTCTCTAACACAATAATGAATATCCATAAAATCAACTCTCTAACTATATAATCAAAATCTAACAAAACAGATGTTTTCTGTGTCAAAAGTATAAACCACAACAACACGGGTTTAATTCAAAACCCAGTGTGATATATGTTTGTAATCAAAATAAACATTTATGAAAAATTAACCTTGAAAGCAGATTTGAAACCTAATGTTTTACATTTATTGTGTGAGTATCTATAATCCTAGTAAACGGAAAACCTATAAATACGATATGACATTCGTATAAAAACGTATTTTTAGGTTTGGAATACGTATGTCATTCGTATTTTCCATACGTATGACTTACGTATTTTCTTGACCATTTCCTTAGTAAAAAAACTAAAAATAAGTAGTTTATATTCGCAAAAATACGTATATGACAAACGTAAAAATGCGTATGTAAACAATCCAATGAATCAGGAGTTTTTAGGTTTTTCCTATAAGGTAGATTTACTCAGCAATTTTAGGATTTTGTTCAAACCTAAATCAGATTTAGGTTTGAACAAAATCCTAACATTGCTGCATATATATGGAATAGGTTTTACATATACTTAAAAATACGTATTTTTACGTATTTTTAATTAAAGAGAAAACGAAAAAAATACGTAAAATAAAAACCTAAAAACATTTACGTATATACGTATACGCAGATGGGTAGTAGAGCGGATCAACTTTTTACCCAATATTTCTTATCGATCAACTGCCTTTAATAATTAACTATTATAAATAATTGAATAACTATGAAGAAAAAAAACATTACTTTCTACATTAAAATCGTTGCAGCGTAAATTCATACAATTAAAAACATCATTTTCATTTTTCAATTAATCTAGCTCTCTCTACACTTTTTAAGTAGTTAAATCAACTGGGGTGGATACAGGATTTAAGTGAGGGGTGGGGGGGCAAGATTTTTTAGAAACCAAAAAATTCATAATTAGGAAAAAAAATCGTGGCGCAGGCGAAATTTTTTTTTGGCTTACAAGACTCAAAAAGAGTCAAAATTAATGACTAAAGACTAAAAAACTAGATTTTTAACTTTTCACACATTATAGTTTATTAAGACAGATATTTTTCCTGTTTTGCACTAGGGTTTCAATTTCCCTTAAGCATGCTATTGAGAAGCTATTCTGAAAATAGGAAAAAAAATTCCAAATTCAGG